TAGATAGATAGATAGATAGATAGATAGATAGATAGATAGATAGATAGATAGATAGATAGATAGATAGATAGATAGATAGATAGATAGGAGATTTGATAAGACAGGAATACCAGCGCAATAGAACTTGATGCATACATATACATATGTTTTATACATATATAAAAAATGTTTTAAAAACCCTGAATGTTGTAACTGTAACTATACAGTTTTATGTTTACATCTAATACTACAAACTGAAGGACATTAGCTTCCTACTTCCTCAGTGACCTCTATACTTGCCCTCCGACCTTAGTGATCCGAACAGTCTGAGCAAACTTACTCCAAAGCCAGGCCTCAGTACACAGCCAGGTCCCCCAAGAGTTGTTCATCATATCAGTGAAAAGATTGCACTTCTTCTGAGTATCTAGTCTGTTTGTTCATCAGCTGACACAAAGCTAAATAACAGATAAACTACTGATGACCACAACAAAAGATATTCTTTGACAGGAGACACACTATGATAGACTAACGTGCAGATTAATACAATGCCTTTCATAAACAAAACAAAATAAGACATGAGCAACCGCTTTCAAATTTCTCTGGTAGAAATATTACCTCAGTACAAAAATCCATCAAGTTACGTGAAGCTCCCACAATTAAGGATTAAAAACTAGTACTTAAAGTTCCAAACATATCCATTTCTAGCAAACCCTTACAGACACACATACCAATATTACATAAACCCAAACACAAGTTATTCTGCTTCCTGGCCGGGTTTATCTTCTTGCATTGAGCTCTCACACAGATGAATGTTTTGCTAAAAAAAAAAACCAACACATCCGTATGGTTGGATAACACCTTACCAATTAGATTAAAACAGTCTCATAAACATTTCTCCAAAGAAAGTGGTTAAAGCAATAATCTGTTGCATTAAGATAATCTCCTTTCTAAACAAAAAGATCACCTAAGTTGCTGTATCTGGATCAAACCAAAAAGAAAATCAACTACTGGGAATCAAATTATCTAAACATGAAAACTGATGCTGTGACTCAACCCAGGTCATGCTGTTATAAGCAAATAAGGACCAAAATGTAAATATATATAACAATGTAAGAACACCTCTACTGATAAAACAATGAAATTTAAATAACAAGTTTTATTTTATTTTCTATCTAAATATATCTATCCATATTAAGACTTTACATTGATTTACATTCATTAAAGTTATTGCTTTTAATATTCACCCTAACCCTAACTATTACCAGTATGTTCCTAAACCTAACTTGAATCTAAAGTTAATTCACACCATACCTCTAAACTTACTCTGTAACATTTAAAATGGGATTTCACCACATTAGGACAAACCTATGGTCCTCAGAATGTTAGTGCTTGTACCTGAAACGGTCCTACATCGGAAACAAAAACAAGCACACACATACACCATGCAGAGGACCTAATTCAGGGATTTGAACCAGGGCTTTCTAAACAGTAACAGTGCAATCTGTTACTCCTTTGTCTATTTCTAGCTATTAGTAACAATATCATTATTAATTTCAATGCTCATTAAAGAGAAAGTTGAACATATTCATAACTCTCACAGGACAAGGTTAAAAGCTGGTGAAGGTTCTCAGTCATCCAGGTCATAGTCATTAAAAAGAAAAAAAAAAGAAAAAAACAATCCACTGGACTTGGTTTCCAAGTTTGAAGATGTTTCGCCTCCCATTCAGGAAGCTTTTTCAATTCAAAATGTCAGAAATAGCTTTGAGGTTTTTTCTTTTTTTTTGTTTTTATTTTCAAAAGTCAAGGTTAAAAGTAATCTTTTAATTTTCCCCAATGTTTTCCCCAAACTAAAGTACTGGCAAGGTTGTAAATAATTTGAATTTGTAATCCTTATTAAAATATAAATATAACAAATAATAATTTATTTCACAATTAAAGATTTCCTGCTTACGTTTTATTCTCTATTAAAATGTACATTTCCAGTCAGAAACTACAGTGATAAACAGTAACAGAAGTGATACAAATTTGAACCTGCCCGGGATTTTTTTTATTTATGAGAAAAAGAAAAAGAAAGTATAATCTAAAATTTTCTGGGTGATCTCATTTGGCTTTTAACTCCCTCATTTCAGGAAATGAACTATGAACCTAACCACCAACACACACAAAAGATTTTCCTTGATACAGGTAAGATTCACAAGCCGTTTGAAGCAAATTTCTTTCCTTTATTTATTATGTTTTTACCATAACAAACCCCTCTACATATTACACATGCTACAGTACACACCAAGCACTCACCAATAAATGGCTCCCTCTGCTGGCCCACTGCTCCTCTCACCACCTGCAGTGGGTGGGTTCACCAATGACAGCTGTGCTGTGATTCGCTGCTCCAAGAGGAGGCTGCCATGACTCGCTGGATGCTGCACAGCATCCCATCCACATCATCAGCAGCAAGAGCTCCTCCATCCTCCTCGCCATTCCTCCGTCTTTTTTCTCCTTTTCTGCTTCTCCTCCTTATACCACCATCCTTGCATATTCATTCCCTTTCTCTTTCCCCCCCGACAGGAGCAGGTTGAAGCAGAGGACTGTGTACACAGCAGGAACGGCAGCAGCGGGCAGACTTGTAGGTGAGCTGGGGCCTGATCCCCCATAACCCCCCATCCTCCACCTCTTTTCCTGCAGCACAGGCAAGACATTGCATTCTCCTCAGATCTCTGTCAAGGACTATCTCTCTGTAAACGGTGTGTGTGTGTGTGTGTGTTTGTATGTGAGAGTACCACACCCTGGGATCATTTCTACTTAGCTGATGGAGTACATGGGTGGAGGTATATATTTATATTTGCATAGTCTTTAACCTGATATTTCTGCATTCATACTGAAACCAGCACGTCTCTTACTCTGTTACGGTGATGGAGCTGTTTGTTATTTTGGCTCCATTGCACAGTTAGTGCATTCTTTAGGCCTTGGCAACATCTTTATCCTAATCTTATGTAGAAACTGAATTTCTGGCACCACTTCATGTGTTGACTCTTCTTCATATCTTTCCAAAGCTATCCTCTTCTTTAGGTGCTTCATCTGATTTTCCTTCCTCCTGAAACTCCACTTCATCTTCTTCTCCCTCCTCACCCTTCTTCTCCTTCTTGCTGTTCACTGTCTCAGGATGCCTAGGTTCAGGATGCTTCAGTAGGCCCCAGCAGCATGGGCGGAGCCTGGGTGGGAAGAGAGATTACAGATTGGAGCCTTCCCCTCCGGACGGGCGAACTGGCGGGCCACCCTTCCTCTTCTTCAGATGGGTGAGGACGCTGAGAGCCCCAAAATCAACCATACCTTCCTGAGAGACTACGTTACTGAAGGTGGGTCAATGCTCTGGCTGTGTGGGTCACAGATTGAACAGATTTATTACTCTTGGGTAGGAAAGGAAGACATGCTGCTTGAATTAAGACTTTTGGATTAAATTTCAAGGATTCATTTTAAAATTTGTTCTCTAATTGGTTTCGTATATTTTGATTTAGAATTTGGTTTGTGTAGATTTTTATGTTAAGACGTGGAGAGTTTTTTTTAATGAATATTGTTTGTTCATTTGCTAATTTCCTTATTTGCTCTGCACCTAAGGGTTTTTGTCTTACCATCACATGTTGTTTTAGGTCTCATGGCAGAGAGATATCTAACCCACTTACTGTGCTTATTGAAGGAGCCTAGGCCTAGTTTTTCAAATATTAAATCTAAGAATAAATTGTCATGTGTTGGCATAGGCCAGCCGTCTATATCAACACATTTAAAGGGCAGAGGTTAAAAAGCCTCCAATTTTCTGCCTTGAGTTGTTTTTTTTTATTCAGATACAAACAAAAGCGTTGGGATGACCAAATTATCCTGCCGTAGATCGATCAGAGAGCAGAGATCGATCGGTGCAGTGTTTTTTAAGGTCGATATAAATTATTTTGGTATCAGTCTAACTGATCCCAGATATGTTCTGATAATTTTTTGGGGGGGAGAAACTTTTCTAAAGTCTCAATTTAAACAATAAAGACACATTTGTTAACAAATTGTTCATTATATAACAATTAATTAGCAAATGGAAGTATTTGCATGCATGCAGCTAAATGTATTGGTAACATATTGGTCTAAACATTTTGCACTTTAAAATTAATGTATAAAATGATGCATTGAAAAGCTAACTGCAAAAGATATCCAAATGTGTGAAACAGCTGCACACTGCTGGTCAGCTAGCTAAAACACTAGTACTACATTTTACTTCACAACTAATAAAAAGGAAAGAAATGTCCATTTGCAAATTATGCAAACAATTAAATTGAAATGATAGAAGTTCTACTAGGTTAAATCAAATTGCGACTTTTGTTTAAAATTACTGTCTAAATACTTGTTATGGATTCTTATAACTACAACTGACAACTGGCAGCTGGAGGAAATGACAAAATGTTGAGAGCTTTTTCCTGCATTTTTAACCATAGAGACAGTAAGTTAGCTCAAAGAAAACACTGATGCTTTTCCTTCACTAAATGGTAAGATTTTGCAACTTTAAAATATTTCTGATTACAAAAAAAATTCACTGTATTGAAAATGAAACTAGTGTCATCCTTTAGAATCTCATTCTGTCTATCTTGATCATCATTTGTTTTTTGTATCATCCTGAATAACTGAATCCAATGTCCCTGTACCCCTTCCAGCTGATGTCATCTCTACAGTGGAGTTCAATCAGACAGGGGACCTGCTGGCCACAGGGGATAAAGGTGGCCGAGTGGTCATCTTTCAAAGAGAGACCGAGGTCAGGTCACCTTGTGGTGATGACAACTCTCAGTTTCTGGCACATTCTTCAGAATACATTAATATGAATGCTAAAAAAGTATCTGCTGGCTTGTATTTTCCTGTTATTTTTTCTTAGCCTAAGGGTGAGTTTGAAGAGGCAGGCGAGGTGGGGGACTCGGGAGAGTACAACGTCTACAGCACCTTCCAGAGCCACGAGCCTGACTTTGACTACCTGAAGAGTCTGGAGATAGAAGAGAAGATCAACAAGATCAGATGGTTGCCGCAGCAGAATGCAGCACATTTCCTGCTCTCCACCAATGGTACATAAATGCTTAAACTCTAATAGGAGGCCTTATTGATTTTGTCATTGAAGCTTCGGAAATCATGTAGGTAAAGGCGACAGTATTAGTCCCAACCTTTCAGGCTCCATTTCAACAGCGGGTACTACAATTCTAACCTTTTGTACTCATATTAAAGAGAGACAAAATGTCTTACTTGTTGAGGGAAATAAGGGTCAGAATGGCCCAGTCTATACAGTATCTAGTTTTGAATAACTGTGCTCTTGAATATTTCTGTTGCAGATAAGACCGTCAAACTGTGGAAGGTTAGTGAGCGAGACAAGAGACCAGAAGGATACAATCTGAAAGATGAGGAGGGACGGATCAAGGATGTTTCCACCATCACCTCTCTGAGGGTACAGCAGCATGCAAACACACACACACTGTTATGTCAAGTTGTTTTTTTATTTGCGTCACAGTCAACACACAAACAACTTGTTTGCCCTTCATGAGTTAGTTCTTTGAATTCTCATTTTTAACTGTACACATTTTTACCCGCTTCCATTCTTTATTTCTCTGTTTAAGGTGCCGGTGTTGAAACCAACAGATCTGATGGTAGAAGTTCGTCCAAGGCGCGTATTTGCAAATGGACATACATACCACATCAACTCCATCTCTGTCAACAGTGATGGGGAGACTTACCTGTCTGCTGATGACCTCCGCATCAATATGTGGCATCTGGACATCACCGATCGTAGTTTCAGTATCCTCTGCGGTTATGATTTGTTTCAAAGTATTTACCCAAATTGAATTTTAGAATGGTCAATTGAATTTGGTTCAGTTCAATTTCAATTCATTCATTCTACTTTAAAAGGCACATAGGTCCAATTAATTTTAGATTGTGTATATATGTTGATTCAAATACCTTTAAACTTGAGACATTCCAATATCAGCTAATCACATTTTAACATTTTGTTGTGATTACACAGAGCCCAATAATGTCCACATTATCAACTAATACAGACAAATTGATTTTATGAAATAACCCAAACTGGTAAAAAGGAAGGAGGTGGTTTTTTTCAGTTGTTGATTTTGCAGCAATACCTTCGTCTTCACAAAATGTGGCAAAAGTGGAGAAGAAAAACTCTGTGTAACTGCCATCTGCTCACAACAAGCTGGGTGCTGAAAAGGCAGGAAGTAATTAAATTCATTTTCAATGCATCCATTCAGCTTCTGCTGCTTATCCATCAGTCTCAGGGGGCTGGTGCCCTCCAGCAATCTAAATATAGTTCACCCTGGACAGGTCGCCAGTCCATTGCAAGGCTTATTTCAGTTTATGTACATATTATACTGCCAGTTCATATGTGCAGTCTCAGGGCACTTAATAGAAAAAAAAATACAATTCAAACCAGTCAGGCAGACCGATCCCAAGTCAAGTATATAGATTCTGAATTGATCCTACTTATCAACTATTGCAGACAGGTTTATTGCCTAAACTGGTAAAGTTTAGACAGCAAAAACAACAACAACAAAACAATAGTGTTTGATGAACCCAGGAAACCCAACAGATTTCAATGATTTACTGCTTTCCAGCCTATACTTCTCCATGTCAAGCAAAATACGAGCTAGAGTGATTTATATCAGAAGAAAGAAAAACTAAGCCCCAGTTTTGCGTTACCTTTTAAATTATTTTCATATTTGTTTATCACTTAATCTCTTGCAAGAGGTTTCTTCTCAGATTAGGTAAAATATATCAATTTAATCTTTAGAATTGACCAATCTAGTGGAAGGGTCCAATCAATCTTATTTTTCTTCAGTAAATGTAATTCTGTTCAGTTTAGTTTTATACATCATGTTATTGCACTTTGAAAGACCAAAATGTTGCATTTTTCCAACTACATTAATGTGAACTTTTATTACTTATGTATCTAAACGGCTGTTTTGAATAAGGAATATATCTTAAAAATATAACCATTAGGAATGCACTTGAAAATGTTTAAATTTTTTGAAAAAATAAAAACTGATGATATGTTAACATTGCCAATTAAAATCCAATCTGTGTTATATTATGATATCTAATTTGTCATATTATGCAAAAAACGTTATAGAGGCAAAATATATTGTAAATTAAACTTGTGCAATCCTGCTCATTTAGAAAGGACTACAGTTTCTGTAGTTTAATAATTCTTCAATCTGGATTTTTCTATTTTCCTTCCACTGTGTTTCTGAAAAATTTTCTATTCTATTCTATTCTATTCTATTCTATTCTATTCTATTCTATTCTATTCTATTCTATTCTATTCTATACCCTTATTCTAATGTATCCTATTCTATACTGTTCTCTTCTGTTCTATTCTAAACTGTTCTGTTCTAATCTATTATATTCTATACTGTTCTATTCTATTCTGTTCTGTTCTGTTCTGTTCTATACTTTTCTATTCTATGCTTACATTTCTATTCTATTCTATTTTATGCTGTTTTGTCCTGTTCTATTCTCTTCTTATATAGTCTTGTTTTAATAATGTTTCAACCACATTAAGTAGCATAACCCTTCATAAGGTTGTGCTAGTGAATAATCTGTTCATTAATTTGGGTGTTTGGTTCTGCACACATTGTGATTTCAGTGCAGGCCACAGCATGTTGTATAGACTCCCTTTAGTGTTTTCCTACTCAAATCAAAGCTGACCTAGAAAATCTTAGATGCACTATGGAAGAGAACTTGAATAATTCACTCTCTGCTGAGCCTCATAGGACCAGAGAAACACAAATAGAATGAAGTGAGGAGCACATTGTGCATCCATGTTCCATCTTAATTGGATCCATTATTTGTTGATATTTATTTATTTGTTATTAATTTGACTGTAAAAAAACAGGAACAAAAATAACAAGATGCAGAAACCCTAACAAAACACTATTGTTATTTTAGTTTATTGCTTAATTTTCCTTATTAGAGCTTCTTCTCAGACATTGTAGACATCAAACCTGCGAACATGGAGGACCTGACGGAGGTGATAACAGCAGCGGAGTTCCACCCTCACCACTGCCACCTCTTTGTGTACAGCAGCAGCAAGGGGACCCTGCGCCTCTGTGATATGAGGGCCTCAGCTCTCTGTGACAAACATACCAAACGTGAGCATGATTTGAAATTAGAAAATGTATTGTGGTAAACCACAGAAAAGGGCATTAGGAAAGTCTGCCTCTGCTTAATTAACCCAGTTGTGTTTTTTCAGTTTTTGAGGAGCCTGAAGATCCAGGGAGCCGCTCCTTTTTCTCAGAGATTATTTCCTCTGTTTCGGATGTTAAGTTCAGCCACAATGGGCGCTACCTGCTGACAAGAGACTACCTGACAGCTAAGGTGTGGGACCTTAATATGGACAAAGGCCCAGTTGAGACCTACCAAGTAAGAAAGCCTTTTTTCATATCAGTTGAGCTTTTTACCTTTTGGCAGATTTAGCTTTAAAGTTATTTATATCATTCCTATTTTTGTGGTTTAAAAGCCAACTTACCTGTTCAGAAATAAGCTAAACAGTGTGATGTCTGAGTAGTACAACATTTAGGCACATTCTCTTTATGTGTGGATTCTCTCTTCCTCCCAATCTTCAAAATTGTCACGGAGATATCAGTATGTACATATAGAAATAGTGTGTATGTATAGATTTTCTTAAATTATGCATCTGTCTAAGCATTCTTAGACAATAGATGAATGTTATTTTTGCCTGAAAGTAATCTTAACTTTTTGTAGTGAACCACTTCAGAGTCTCAATAATCTGTTCAGGGATATAAAAATAAGTGTTATGAAGTCATTGTTTATCGTCAAGGACTAATTATGAAGATTAGGGTGGAAAGCTGTTGTAATAATGGTATTATTGCTGGAATGCCAATAGAAAATGTCATCAAATAGCGCATAAATCATTTTTGACATGCTATTTTGCAGTAGAGAGTGCATAAGCACAGATTCTACAAGTTAAGAGATGTCTGTCTGATGTCCTAAAAATTGTTCTAAATCTAAACATGCCAGGGGTACATGCACTGTTACATTTAGCTATGTGTAACCAAGTTCTAGATTCACCAAAAATCAACTTTACAGACATAAATATAATCTATAGCAAGTTCTTACTTACTCATAATGTAGGGAATCTCTGTGTTTAAGGCTTTTTCTCCTTGCATAAAAAAGTATGTCTGCTATGTTAACTAATTTGTATTTTACCGGTAGGTTAAAACAGGGCAATATGGCAACATCATATATCTACATAAGGGCAAATTCAATTCAGTTCAATTCAGTTAATTTATATAGCGCCAATTGACAACACATGTCATCTCAAGGCATTTTACGATTCATCAGATCATACAGTCCAATTGATTCAAAGTTTGCTATCTAAGGAAAACCAGTTGATTGCAACGACTGATTGACTCGAATGCAATCCCTCACACTAAGCGTGCTTGTAGCGACAGTGGAGAGGAAAAACTCCCTTTTAACAGGAAGAAACCTCCAGCAGAACCAGGCACAAATCTGTTCTAAAATATATGTTTGAACAATATATGTATGTAAACATTATCTCTAAATATAATGTATATTTTAATATTTGAAATGTGTTTGTTATTGTTGAATTCAATGGTGATCTGTGACTACATCCAAAAGCAGGCTGAAAAACAACCAAACTTAATTTCTCTAACCAGGCAAGCCAACAAAAGAAGTGGCCTTTAGCCATTCCTATGTCAAAACTAAAGGAATGCTGCAGTTTTTCTTTTTCAATGATATAACACCAGACCAGTCTGGTAAATGTAGTTATATTCAATAAATTTAATAAATTTGAAAATCACTTTTCTTTTAGTTACTCAAATTACTAAGTGAAAAAAACACTATATATGTGGCAATGTACTTGACAGAGACTCTGGGCAGAATTTGATCCCACAGACTCACAGCTGAAAGTCGAAAACCTGTTGGACAAAAGAATATCCGTGTGCCTAAGTAGCCAAGACGCATTGGCAGTTGGAACCATAGTGACAGTACCACACTGTCACATCTCTCCTCTTTCCATAAGCATGTCTTCGTGCTCCACACTGGCTGTCACCACCATTTATGAATCCATGGGCCGTTTGCCGGTGTTGCACATGGATCCTGCCAGCTACGCCAGAATGTAGAACACATGATTTTCACCCAGGATCTGTTTGATCAAATCCCACCTGGGCCCTCCATTGTGTTCCTTGTCATGTTCAGATTTAAGATTAAAAAAATTGGGATAAAGACATATATGTTTAATTCAGATTACAGATCTGATAAGATAATTGTTAAAACTTTGTTTCAATAAACGACTTGGTGAGTTCCCTTGAAAGTGTTTGAGAAAGTCCTTCCTAAAGCAGTATGAGGAGCTGGAATTTAGTATAAAAAACAAAAATATTTATTTTAAAATTCTTAAAGACATAAAAGCATCACTTAAAATGAAAGAAACCAACTACTGTGTTATTTGATGCTGCTTGTAATATTACTACACTCCTGGTTGATTTATTTTGTAAAAATGTTTGTATCCTCAACCAGTAGTTTAGGTCATGAGTCAATTCTGATACCATTTTATGGGTCAGAAACTGAAACGTTTGAAAACCTCAAGAATAAATCACTGCTGCTTCTCCCAGAGAAAGACAACTTAGTAAAGAGCCAATTTTTAAAAAAAGGACCTGTTTAGCCTCTGTAGTGCAAACTAAAATCTGATCTCTTTTGGCAGTTTTAAAACAATTAACTCCTAAACAGCTATTAGGTCACACTTTGCCATTTATAGTAAAAAAAAAAACTTTGCTTCTTTGAGGCTCTTTGTCCAATGCTTTCATTTTTTTATTTCTTCTTCTTTCAAAAGCAATTGATCCTTTTACAAACCTGACACTTCATCCTTCACTCATCCATATTTTTAAGGAACAGTTGCTTTCATGGTCATATACTCTTAATGAACGTTTCGTCAAACAATTAAAACTAGACTCATAAATATAAATGACTTAACCCGCTCCCTGGAAATAGTGTATAAATAAGGAATGATTCTGGGCTTTTTATAGTACCATATATACATCTGTATTTCTGCATGCAATATACCATAACCTAGCATAAATAAAACCTTACTGTCCCCACCATCCCCAGGTCCACGAATACCTGAGGAGTAAGCTGTGCTCCCTCTATGAGAATGACTGCATCTTTGATAAATTTGAATGTGTCTGGAACAGCTCAGACAGGTAAGTGATGGGTAGAGACAGTATGCAAAATAATTACATCTGAAAGCAAATTAGACGAATCTGTGACTGCATGTCAGTTTGATGCTCCTAATACCTTGGCTCTGACATTATCTGACACTGCAATCAATGTTGGAGACAGTCTGTGGAGACATCAGATCAATCTCCTCACCATGTACATTTTCCTTGTTATCCACTTCTCTGGTCCCCCATAAACCTTTCTTGTTCCTCTCCTATGACCTAGTGTGATCATGACGGGAGCGTACAACAGCTTCTTCCGCATGTTTGATCGTGAGACAGGGCGGGGTGTAACCCTGGAGGCGTGGCGGGAGAACAGCAAGCCCCGGGCGGTGCTGCGTACCCGCCGGGTGTATACGGGCGGGAAGCGTCGCCGTGGCGATGTGGGTGTTGACAGCCTGGACTTCACCAAGAAAATCCTGCACATGGCCTGGCATCCGGCAGAGAATATAATCGCCATAGCAGCTACCAATAACCTTTACATCTTTCAGGACCGTGTCAACCCTGATGCACAGACACAGTGAGAGGAACGCAAACACAAACCTGAAGCTATTTTGGTGTTTAAAGAATGCATAAGAAAATTTCAGCCTCTGGAGATGAGGTGGTTGATTAATGGCTTAATCACCGACTGATACTTAAAATGAAAGAATTTATTCACAAAAAAAAAGGTGTTGTCATTTTTCTAACCCTGAGATGTCCTCATATCTCTAGGGGTTATTGGGACTTGATTTTCTTGCTGCACTCTGCTCCTACTTTTCCAAGATGTTTGTGTAATTTCCCTCTGCCTGAGCAGTGAAGGAGGTGCGGGGACACCTCCACATCTGCAACGACTCAGTGCTGTTAATCACAGTGTCGCACCACTCACTAATCAACTCTTTTAAAACAAAACAGAAAGCGCTTCAGTGAAGAAGTGTCTAATGCTCCTGAGACAACCGGATGACTTTACAAGACATCAGTTTTTGTTTGTTTTAGTTTTTCAAATGTGGAATGTCTGCTATGGTTAAAGGGAATGTCTCTTTGCAACTTTCTTTCTTTTGTCTACCTAGTAACAACAGGTACTGACCCTCTCCTTTAGAGCAGTGCTCTTGGAGATTACACACAAGTCACACATAATATATTCACACTGAAATTGTATCACCAAGAACAGATAAACAGTATTTCTGCTATAGATCATAAGTCTTTTCCTTCTACATGTGATGTATACACTTTTTACAGTCAGGTGATTTCTTAAAAAGACAATACCTCTTTGTTTTAAACATGTTTTGTTGTGTCAACTGTAAATGAAGATCAAATCTCATGCAGAAAGGTTCTATGATCTTTTTAACAATGTAATTATTGTGTAGCAATACATATAGAGTTAATGGTGGATGAGAGGGCTGGGTGAACAGAATATAAGGCGACCCGAAGTCTTTTGTTTTTGTTTTTTACTAGTGTCTAGATTAAGGAAAGTGCCGTGCAAAAGCATTCAGGTCCCTTAACACTTCTACATTTTGTCAGGTTGTAACCGCTAACTACGTTTCTTTTTTTTTTTTTTGTTGAAATAAAGAGACAGACAGCTTTCTAATTTGCATCCAGTTCTCCATAAGTTCATACTTTGTTCGACCATTGGCTCAATTACAGCTGGAGGTGTGCATGTCCTCATAAGCCCTGCACATCACAAGTGGAGTTAGTTCAGACTTTGACTTGGGGGTTTTGGAATAGACGTTGATGTAAACCATCCCCCACTAGCTCTGGCTGCATTTTTAGGGCAATCTGTAAGGTAAATCTCCACCTGAGACTCAAGACTTCTAGAGCCTCTATCCACCTCCCATCAGTTTTTGCATCTGTCTTATTCCTTCAGCGTTTTGCATTAAAGCTAATAGTTCACTTTAAATTTCATGTGATAAGAACACCTTTTTCATCATGTTTACTCTGTGTGGCATATGGTGAAGTGCAACCAGAAGTTCTTATGGCTACCTCAGTGAGATATCCAAAGTCTGAGTTATTGTTTTATCATCCTGCTTTATTTCTCTTTAGGATGCTATTTATTTACTGTTATAAGATACATACTGAGGTATTCACAGAACAGCTGGATACCATTATTACTAATTAGTTAATTTGATTTAATAGAAATGCAAAACATACAGAGAACTATTTCTAATTTTATTTAACCCTCATTTGTTTTGCTTTTATTTCACAGCCGTGTATTAAGTTGTTTTGGTTCTTGCATACAATCCCAATATAATAAGGAGAAGGTTGGGGATATCAAAAGACAAACTTGTGGAAATGCTCGAGGTATATGAATACTTTTGCAAACCACTGTGAAGAAGACAAAATGTAACTGTTATATGTGCAAAAACAAAATGAGCCTTGTTCATTTTATAACACAAAAGCACATTATGAAAAGGAGTCAAAATAATTAGCACACTGTTTATTAAAGAGAAACCCTGGTCGGCTAACATGCTGACATGGCTATGTTTTTGTCTAAGGAGTGTTTGGGGGTCAGAGGTTATCATCAGTGCAATAGCTCATCATATGCATCATTGAAAGATCTTCAATGTCCAATTACTATAATGTAGATTTATCATAGTGTATCACAGGATTTAGTTCATAGCCGATATCTTATCGCACAGTTTGCTGCTTTGGGTTGTATTAAAGATGCAAAACGTGATGGACTGCTTTATTGCTTAGGATGCAGTACTTTGTTCTCAAGTGACCTTGGTCCTGACATGATTATGAAGAGGTGTAAATGCATTTTCATTAGAAATGGAGGAAAAACACATTTTAAAATGAAATGGGGGGATATGATAGGATTTTTTTTTAAACCAGAGGTTTGACTCTTGTGGAAAAGCTGTGAACTTAGGCCAAAAAAGGATTTTCATTGAATTTGTTTTGCTCGTCTGCTATCTATAAACCTGCGTTCTGTTTCTGCAAATGAGGAAAAAACTTGTGTTAAAAATGTGAGGATCCACAAATGAAGTAGTTTAAATGTCATCGAGTGACGTATAAATGCATCAGACTCACCACCATAGAGCAGGGAGAGGATTCGTGTTCATGATCACAGCAGCATCTGCAGCATGTTACCATTAATCAGTGCTTCTTACCTGTATATGTGTCATACTAAAAAAATATGTAAATTTGCAAAACATTCACGTCAGATGACTGAAAGGAATGTGCATTAATAAAATTATCTGAAATTAGGACATTTTTTGTCTTTGTGTTTATCTGAATCTGGCCATCTTTTATATTTAAAGTAGGGGGAAATACTGTGGTTCCGTGGTTTTCTAAACCTAGCATATGTCCCACTGACTATCTGTCTAACTGTCTAATTGGTTAGAATATTTTATATTAATTATGCTTTTAAAAGTGTAGTTGATTTCACCAACTATTTACGCAGCTAAATGCATCTTTTCCTTTTAAAAAGATAGCTCAACACAAACTGTTTTCAGACCTTTATTTCTGCTAATAATCATGTCTTCTGCAAATATGTAAGGAAACCAAACTATTTAATACAGCAATTGTACTTCAGGCTAATAAAAAACAACATTTTAATATAGAAACATCAGCTTAGTAAAATGCATATTTAATACCTGCTTCCAGGATGCTATATGAAAATGTATTGTTAATCTGACAAAGACCCATCATTGGAATGTATATTCCAATCTATGTAATATATAAAGGTATATACATTAATAGAGAATAAATCTCTCAGTTGGAGAGATAAGTGGCATCTTTGGATTACAAAGTCTTCATATTAAACATTAACTTTAAGGCTTTTTTTTAAACAACTTTCCTCCTTGTTCTACTTTGTACTTTATTCTGCTATATGATTCTCAGTTAAAAACAACAATTTTCAGCATACAAACACTATTGTAAATAGACACAATATATGAAAGACAATATCAAAACATACAGTAAAACAAGCAGCATCAACATTGATTTGACAAGTTTAACCTTTCCAAGCACAGTAATTTCATGGCAGCATATGTATACACCAACCATCTCTGTTTCTCCAGAGGTTTTGAGGCTTTGAGCTACAGCACATATTAAAAAGGAATATTCAGGGTTGATACAGTTAGAAATACATTTTTATCATGCACATTTATCATGCAAGTTTGTAAAATTAATATTTGATAATAAATAAAAAATACAGTTTCTGCTTTATTTTGGTAAAATAAAACAAACTTAACACAGCAAAAATAATTTTTACAGAAAACACAATTTCTGTTCCAGTAAAAGTAAGGCTGTTATGTTATGTATGTTGTGTTTTTATAAATTGTATCAGCCTAATTAAAGTTAACAGTTATACGACAGGTGATTGCAAATGTTTCTCTGTTGAAGCAAATATTAAGATTTGCATGCAGTTGTAATTGATTTTGCTTTAAAATTAATGCTAAAATAAACTTCATTACCTGTGGATGTCACAGGAAAGATTTATGCAACATTGTTGGAAAATTGGCTCTATGCACAACTCAACTACTTCTTTGTTTCCTGTCTTTATCTACTGGATGAACAAATTAATCTTGGATTAATCCATTAGAAAAAGCAAAAAAGTAGAAAAAGACAGGAAACAAAGCAGCTACCGTACATTCAGGAAGTGGTGGAGTTGTGCATGTAGCCCATTGCAAACATTTGATGTCTCAATCACCAACCAATAACCATATTTTCTCTTTGGAAATGAGAGGACAGACCAGCTGACATTGATGAAACAGTGTTGGCTAGCATAGACTTTTTTTCTGCAAAAGAAAACCTAGCTGAGATTGTTATAATATAACAGATCAGTTGATTAGTTTAAGTTTTTTAACTGTAAGAAATGTGTTTTATAATCTATTTTTAACTTAAAGGTGACAATAACCATCTTGGAATTAAATTTTTAAATGTTCTGTGATTTACCCACAGTGGTCAATAATTTGGATTCTTTAAAGAGTCACATTATTTTACAGTAGAAGTGTCTGAAGAGTGTTGAATAAGATTACATAATGTCATCCCTGGGTCAGTATTTCAGTTGCATCAATTCTATTGCAATACTGAACATGTGCAGTAATTACATGGCATTACATTTGCATGATTTAGTAATTTATGCTCCACCCATCTGCAAGTTATATGTTCAATTGGTTTTGAACATTCTTTACAAGAAAAGGTAGTTACAGAGATTTCATCAAGTTCTTATAATAAGATTTGGTGTTTCCCTCTTCACCTCAAGTATGGATTTTTGCTGATAGAAACGGTGAGAAGAAAAAGTCAAAAGCAAACTTCAAGGCTTTAATTGTGGTACGCCTGAAGTCTCTCTCAATCTTCACCTGCCGGCCTCCAGTCAGCCGTGAAGAGGGGCAGTCGAGGCAGTGTATAGCCTTAAGCTCAAAGGCTGGAGCCTTTGCTCCTAAACGGCCGTCCAGCTTAGTACTGAACTCCACTATGTTACCAGGTCTCAGATTAAGCAGAACTTGTTTAAATTCATTGCTAGCCATTAAGATTATATCTTTGGCTGGATCCCCTAACCCTGAACTTCCATCGTCGATAATACCCACTGTCACTTCAAATCGGTAGCTGTCGAACCGCTTGACATGGCAGGAGTGTTTGGCTAAAGCTTTTACTTGACACAACTCCTCTTCTTCTTGCATTTGAAGCAGCGTGGCTAGAGAAACTGAAGCCGACGAAGAACTGTTTGTTTTTTCTGCTACTGAGTTGTTTGCCAGTGTTGTATTCTTTGGCTCACACTTGGGATATGTCTCACCATACAAGCAGCGCATCCAGTCCCCAATAAACACTGGCAGTATGTTAATGACAGACTGTGCTCCATTTTCTGTCTCAGCAATGCGGGTGTGCCTAAAGCGCCCAGTCCAGGTGACTCTGTGTCCTTGCAGGTGGCTACAGAAGATCTGTGTCTGGGCCATGCCTTTGCTCTCCCATGCTGGAGGCCCACAAATCTGACTGTACTGGTTCCATGTCAGGGTGGAGTTGTACACCTTCTGTCCTTCTGCATGGTATACATAAACTGAGAACAACAAAATCACCATGGAAATGCAGAGTAGGATGAATTTGACTGGACCCCAGTGCATCAAGGAGCGGAAAACATTCAAAATAGAGGTGCTGAACCGAGTCCAGAGCCGCAAAGTGACAGGGATTGCACATATCACAAGGGTCACAATCACCTTTGTCAGCTCTAGCTCTATGAACCACTTGAAGATCTGGATGAACAGCATGGTGGCAAGGCCAAAAACCAGAGCAGGAAGGGCAAACAGGAACAGAAAGTATGCAACGCAGGTACGGATTAATCCCACGGCAGATGAATTCTGGAGGAGGACCACTGAAAATTCACACCACATGAAGCACACAAGGTATGGAATCAGAAAACAGTACGTCCCCCTAAATCCACGGGTTCGTGCCATGCTGAGAATAGGAAGAAAGAAAAAAACAAAACAAAACAACATGGATAATTAGTAACTGAAAACCAGCTACTACAGATTAATGGCATCAAAGTTTAGTTTACCAGCACTCACCTGAAAAACAGGTAAAACAGGTAGACATATAGAAGACAAGGGATGCTGAGCTTCAGAACCACAGATTCCCCCAGTGGGATTGTGGCAAATGTATGTCCACAAAACCGAAGTGTTGTCATGTTCTCTGGCAGAAGTTGAGTCAGGCAACACAGATTCGAGGCAACCTAAAAAGGATGAGCAATAGTTTTCTGAGTAAAATAACATAACTTTTACTTCACATTCTAATTTAACACTGGACTTGAACTGGGCCATTCTAAGGCATGTTTGGATCTATATAACTTTACATTGTAGATGTAGCTCCAGGTTTGCAGTTGTTTAGCAAACTTTCTTTATTCTGATGACTGATTAATCACAGCTCTTTATGATGCTTTTTATGTACTAATGTTCTCTCAAAGCATTAGAATTATACAATCAAGTGAAACAAAACTGAAATATAATGCAGGATCTGCTTTTAAAGGTCACACATAAGAAACACTAGCAGTTCATTATCTGTCCTCATTTATGATACCTCTATGCACATTGCCTGACGTGCATATGCTGCTGCAGCCGGGCTAAGGCTGTAGTAGCTGAGAGCGGTGAAGAATATGGCCACAGTGGAGAGCTCAGAACAGGGGATCCATTTCTTATCAGCAACGGGGAAGGAGAAAATGACAAAGAAGACAGAAATGATAAAATAAACGTATTGTTCCAGGTTGTTCCAACCGAAGTTGGTCTCAGCCTGCTCCACGTCAAGACCCGGTTCAAAACGAGTCAGCAGAGTTGTCAGGGCTCTAAAGTTCTCCCATGTCTGGAACAAAGGAGCAAAGGTTCAGTCATTTGATTTAAAGAAATACTGTATATACTTCCAACACAAAAGAGGAAAGCTTTAGATTAACCTTGCTGCTTTGGAATATCCTCAGAGTGCAGATAATCATGGAGACAAAGGACAGGTAGAAGACAAGCAGGGGTATAACAAAAGCAAACAAGTCAACAGTCAAGTTGCTGATGAAAAAGAAGAAAATGAGCGCATTGACGTGCTGTGTGGGGATGAGAGTGCTCAACCACTGAACTCCGGCCTTCGATGCCCAGTCAAAGAGATGCTCCTTCATCTCTATTACTGCATGGAGCGGGTATTGCAGCGTCTGAGGTTGAAAAACAGAAAGTAAGAATGGGAGTGTCATTTTCAAACCAAAAAGACTGAGAGTATAATTGATCAGACAAATACATTCTTTCAGTTATAATACCATCAAGTGTGACTTCATGGCATTGGCCTGGTCAGCGTCTGGCATCATCCCACTGTAACCAAAGCTCCAAGAATGTTTCCGGGCTTTCTTATGTTCTTTCGGGAGTACCTCTGACTTGTCCTTGGACACATAACAACAGGCGCCTTTGTCATTACTTAAATACTACCTATAAAGATATTGATAAAATAAATGGCAGCATTACCTTTCCTTCACTCACAGACTGGGAGTAACGCCTAGTTTTCAATGTGGACTGGCTGCCATTTTTAGGGGTACTAGGGACAATTCCCTCTGCATACATTTTCGTCATCTCAACAAAGTCATCCAGGTCCACCAACTGTTTGGCTGTGAAGTTTATAACAACTAATTACACAGAAAGTCACACAAAACTTTGTAGCTTTCCCTTATTTTTTATTTGTATACCTACAGTCATTGCTGACCATGCTCTCTAATACTTTCTGAGTTTGGCCCGAAGTTGGGGCAGGCATTCTGCTTGCTGT